TAAAGAAGATGCAAACCATGGGGAGGGAGGTGGGAGGGGGGATCGGGATGGGGGACACATGTAAATCCACGGCTGATTCATGTCAATGTATGGCAAAAACCACTACAATACTGTAAAGTAATTAGCCTCCAACTAATAAAAATAAATAAAACACAAACAGAGATGAACAACAACAACAACAACAAAAGAAGATGCAAGCCATCTGGAAACACTGTCAGACTTTTTCTCTTGGGCTCCAAATTCCCCGCAGATGGTGACTGCAGCCATGAAATTAAAAGATGCTTGCTCCGGAAGTAAAGGTATGACCAACCTAGACAGCATATTAAAAAGCAGAGACATTACTTTGCCAAGAAAAGTCAGTCTAGTCAAAGCTATGGCTATTCCTAATGTTATGGATGTGAGAGTTGGACTATAAAGAAAGCTGAGTGCCAAAGAATTGATGCTTTTGAACTCTGGTGCTGGAGAAGACTCTTGAGAGTCCTTTAGACTGCAAGGAGATCCAACCAGTCCATCCTAGAGGAAATCAGTCATGACTATTCATTGGAAGGACTGACGCTGAAGCTGAAACTCTAATACTTTGGCCACCTATTGCAAAGAGCTGACTCATTGGAAAAGACCCTGATGCTGGGAAAGATTGAGGTGGGAGGAGAAGGGGACGACAGAGGATGAGATGGTTGGATGGTATCACGGACTCAATGGACATGAGTTTGAGCAAACTCCGGGACTGGGTGATGGACAGGGAGGCCTGGTGTGCTGCAGTCCATGGGGTCACAGAGAGTCGGACACGATTGAGCAAATAAAAAACAAGACCATCTGGAATTCTCAGCACTGGGATCGTGCACTGGAATAACTGTCTTGTAAAACCAAACAGAACTCCCAGGAAGCATTGACATAGGAGGCCCTTCTAATCTTACAATGCCACTGCCTGTGATGTTCCCAACAGAAAGTGAGACGTGGCGGTCTGCGCAAGGCCAAACCTGCAGGGAACAGCAAAAAAAAAACAGAAAGAGCCCATGTATTCTCACCCCAGAGAAAGGATCTGAACCACGTCCTGTGTGAGGGTGGATGACTTCACAAGGACAGGAGTCAATAATCTACTTTGACATCCATCAATCAACGTGGGCAGCACATTCAATGCTGTGTGTGGTGTGATAAGCTGTGACCTCCCCCAAGAGACATGTCTAAGGGTGTGAATGCACGCGTGCGTCTGACTCTCTGCGACCCCGCGGACTGTAGCCCTCCCCCGCACCAGGCTCCTCTGTCCACGGGATTCTCCAGGCAGGAATACTGGAGTGCGTTGCCATTTCCTTCTCCAGGGGAAACCTTGCAGATTCAGGATGAACTCCTGTCTCCTGCGCTGCCCGCAGATTCTTCACCACGGAGCCACTTGGGGAAGCCCCCAGAGTACTGGGCACTGGTGACGAATTCAATCTCCAGCCCCGGCTCTCCCGGAGGTCACAGGGTTAAGACTGAAAATTCCAACCCTTTAATCGCCAGTTGGTTGCCTTGACAACCAGCCCCCACCCTAGGGGCAAGTTACAAAGGTCACACATTAACATAACAAGGGAAGCCTTTCAGAATCGCTGCACTTGGGAAATTCCAAGGGTTTTAGGAGGTCTGAGCCAGAAAGGGGACCAAAAAGACCCAAATACGTACATCTCTTATTATAAACTACAATATCGGAAGCATCAAGAAAGATGTGGGCAAAATGAAAGATGACTTACTTTCAGACAGAGAACAGTAGCATCTGAAATCTCAACACCCCCTAAATTAAGTTAAAAATCCACCCCCCACCCCCCATTAGCTTTTGTTCAGATGAAATGATTATAGTATAGTCATATTACTATAATTATATAAGTGTACGGTCATATTATACTTATAAGTATATAGTCATATAATATGGTATATTATAGTCATATAAGTATAGTATAGTATACTGTAGTATAATCAAAGCTATGGTTTTTCCAGTAGCCATATCTGGATATGAGAGTTGGACCATAAAGAAAGATGAGCGCTGAAGAATTGATGCTTTTGAACTGTGGTGTTGGAGAAGACTCTTGAGAGTCCCTTGGACTGCGAGGAGATCCAACCAGTCCATCCTAAAGGAAATCAGTCCTGAATATTCATTGGAAGGACTGATGCTGAAGCTGAAACTCCAATACTTTGGCCACCTGATGCGAAGAGCTGACTCATTGGAAAAGACCCTGATGCTGGGAAAGACTGAGGGCAGGAGGAGAAAGGGACGACAGAGGATGAGATGGTTGGATGGAATCACCAACTCGATGGACGTGAGCTTGAGCAAGCTCCGGGAGTTGGTGAGGGACACGGAAGCCCGGCATGCTACAGTCCATGGGGTCACAAACAGTTGGACATAAATTAGTGACTGAACAACAACAATAATTTACCACTTGTAAAAACCTAACCACCACCTGAACATAGAAATATGAGCAAATGATTAAACAGAAAGAGACCTCTTCATCCTACAGGGGTTTTTTTTTTTTTTTCTATTTGTAAAAATCACCTAAAAGGTGGTCTAGAAATATAATCTGGTCAGTCAAGAAGCGCTCGACTCAAAAAAAAAATAAATGCACAATGTGAGAACTGGCAGTTAAGATTTATTTCAGGCAAAGTGAAGGCTGTATGTAGGCAGCAGAGAGCTCTGAGAGACTGCTCCAAAGAGCTAAGAGGGGGAAGGTCTGTATATACGTGATTCTGTTGAAGGGGAAGTGAGTGCAATCAAACACGTATTATTTTACGAAAGGTTTCTGTGAGTCACGGGGAGCGGTCACCACCATGCAGGACTTTTAGTGCTTTTCTAGATATGAGGAGATGAAATAATCAGGCTCATGAAATGGGCTCTTGAAAATATCTAGCCATCTGAAGACCTGTCCTGCCAGTCTTGCCCAGAGCACAGATGTCTCCCGTCTGCTGTCCACACTAAGCCCCTTTCAGGGAATGTTGAAGGTCTGCAGCTGTAGCAGCACTTGACTGAATCCTTGCAGAGGTGGACGGAAGATGCCCAAGTGCTGTTGACAAAGGGTAAAGACAAAGAGACTGGGGCTTCCCTGGTAGCTCAGCGGTAAAGAATCCGCCTGCAAAGCGAGAGACCCAGGTTTGATCCCTGGGTTGGAAAGATCCCCTGGAGAAGGACACGGCAACCCACTCCAGTATTCTGGCCTGGAGAATCCACATGGACAGAGGAGCCTGGTGGGCTAAAGTCCACGGGGTCACAAAGAGTCGGACACAGCTGAGCGACATGGCAGAGCACGCACGTCTCATTCACAAGAGGAAATGAGATTTTAAATGGAACCAGAGATGATACAGGAGAGGTGGGTTTTGATGTCCTGGTGACGGAGATGCGATTGCAGCTGCCGTTGCCGCTTGCTGGGGACAGCCGCCTCTGCTTGTTCACATCTGTCAGAATCTGGGTTCCGTGGGTGGTCCCGGCATTCCGGACCAAGGGGGACTTGGAGGTGGAGAACTGTCGACAATCACTGTTGTTGACGGCGTCCACCTCCAGGGCTCTGGCCATCACGGTTTCTAATCTCCAAGATCCCGCAGAGAGGACGAAATGAATTCTGTCCACCTGCCAAGGCTGCGGAGGTTTGGTGATGTACCCGACTCCCATCGGGGAGTCAGCACCTCCCACGGAAAAGATCACGGCTAGAGGAGAGGTGTGATTTCCAGCAAGAAGCCAGATGACCGTGCAGCAAACACACAATCTGACTGGTAACAGCAACAAAGATGCAGACTTACACGAACTGCAGATGGGTTAGGGACACAGTTCTACAAGCACATCAGCAGATATGTGTTTTGGGAGGTTGGGGTCCACGTTTTCCATCTATATGTCCTTTAGCTAGCAACTGCCCTGGTAGCTCACATGGTAAAGAATCTGCCTGCCATGCAGGAGACCCAGGTTCGATCCCTGGGTTGTGAAGAGCCCCTGGAGGAGGAAATGGCAACCCACTCCAGTATTCCTGCCTGGAGAATCGCATGGACAGAGGAGCCTTGCAGGCAACAGTCCACGGGGTCGCAGAGAGTCGGACACGACTGAGTGACTCACACACAGAGCACATCCTCTAGCTAAACAAACTCCTTCTCGAGAATTTATCCTAAAGAGAAAATCACACGGAAGATCCAAACAGACATCTCCCCAAAGAAGACATACAGACGGCCCTCCGGTACGTGAAAAGATGCTCAGCATCGCTGGTTATCAAAGAAATGCAAATCAAAACTCCAGTGAGGGGACACCTCACACTGGTCAGACCGAAATGAAGCAAAAGTTGCTAAGCTGTGTCCTACTCTTTGCGACCCCAGGGACCATACAGTCCATGGGATTCTCCAGGCCAGAATAGTGGAGTGGGTAGCCTTTCCCTTCTCCAGGGGATCTTCCTGACCCAGGGATCTAACCCAGGTCTCCCTCATAGCAGGCAGATTCTTTACCAGCTGATTCTTTACCAGTATGGAGGTTCCTTAAAAAAATTTTTTTAAATAAACCTAAAAATAGATCTACCATCTGACCCTGCAATCCTACTGCTAGGAACGTGGAGAAAACCATGCTTAGAAAAAATACCTGCAGCTCAACCTTCACAGCAGTTTTGGTGGGAATGTATACTTGGGCAGGCATGATGGAAAACGGTATGGAATGTTCTTTAAACACTAGAAACAGAGCTCTCATACGATCCTGTGATCCCACTGCTGAGGCATACACCTGGAGAAAATGATCATGGGAAAAGACACATGCACCCCAGCGTTCATCACAGCACTAGTCTCAATAGCAAAGACACAGATGCTACCTCAATGTCTGTGAACAGAGGGACAGAGAAAGAAGATGTGGAGCCTGGAATCGGTAACGCAGCGGCGTCGAGGAGGTTAAAGCCAGATCTGCCCGTGGACCGCAGCAGCGACCCGAGCATCTCTGCCTTTGCCTTGAAGACCCGGAGGTTAAAGCCAGATCTGCCCGCGGACCGCAGCAGTGCCCCGAGCATCTCGGCCTTTACCTTGAAGACCCACCAGCCCAGGAGCTTCTTGACGAGGCGGGTGCCCCAGAAGACGTGTTTGTAGAGGTCGGTGTCCACCACGCCGGGGTCGGCCACGTTGGCGGTCACGGGCGCGCCCCGGGCTGTCAGCAGCGCCTGCAGGCGGTAGGTGAAGAGCACCAGGGCCAGCTTGCTCTGGGCGTAGGCCGCGTGCGCTGAGTAGTCGGTTCTGCGGGAGCAAAGGGGAGAGGCCGTGAGACCCGGGCGTCTGCATGGCGACACCGCCCTCGCCCGGCCGTGGGACGACAGCGCCAGGCACAGGTTGCGGGCACCCAGAGACGTGCCCGAGGTTAAGGGGGCTGTGCTGAGTCACTCGGTCGTGTCCGACTCTTTGCAACCCCGCGGGCTGCAGCCCACCAGGCTCCTCTGTCCACGGGGATTCTCCAGGCAAGAAGACTGGAGTGGGTTGCCGTGCCCTCCGCCAGGGGATCTTGCCCGACCCAGGCATCGAACCCGGGTGTCCCGCTTTGGCAGGCAGATTCTTTACCGACTGAGTCTCCAGGGACGCCCGGGTGTGTTATCTGCCCTGTATAGATCTCCTAGGACGCTACAGGGTGGATATTTCACCTAATTTGGGGTCAGGGAACTGGCCAATTTAGATGCAGAGGCCTGTGGCAATAGTTGCTATGGGGCTTGGTCAGTTCCAGAGATGTTTATCCTATGAGCCTGGAGCAGGGCTCCACACCAGTGACCTTGCTATAGGGCTCCACACCACGTTTTTCTTTTTCTCCTTTGACTGTTCAAGGCTTGGGAAAGATGCTATGACAGATGTACTTTTCTAGCGCACAATGACCACCTCCATCCACTCCTTTTTGGCTTCCTACCATCAGGGACTATTTTATGGGGCTGGACGTGGGCACCACTTCATGCAAACCACAGGGCGTTTTCTGGCGGTGCAGGGGTGAAGACTCCCTCACCTTCCAATGCAAGAGGTGTGGGTTTGATCCCCCGGTCAGGGAGCTAAAATACTAAAATCCCATGCCTTGTGGCCAAAATACCAAAACATAAAATGGAAGCAACATGGCATGAATAAGAAATTCAATAAGGACTTTAAAAAACAGTTCCCAACAACAACAACAAAAATTCTGTAAATAAATAAAAACACAATGGTGGTCACTTACACCTATCCTTTCCCAGAAAGTAATGTTACTGAAACATAGCAAAAAAAAAATCACTGCAGAGAAAATATCACTCCAGGCAAACTAATTGTGGTGTCCGAGCAGCTAGTAATTTTATGCATAGCTACAGAGGCTGGGCAAAATGAAGAGCTTGTTAATATCTCTACTGGGGACTTTCCTGGCGGTCCAGGGGCTAAGAAGCCACCTGCCAATGCAGGGACTGTGTGTTCCATCCCTGGTCAGGGAGCTAAGATTCCACGTGCCTCCCAGCCAAAAATACCAACCAGAGCAATAACATTCCAATAAAATCTTTCAAAATAAATAACAAGGACCAGTTTTGAGTCTTTCATCCTTTTTTTTGGTCATCAACAATAAATCTACAAATAAAACCCAAGTGATTTGTGCTGAAAAAGAAAAAGTAGCATTTGAAATTGTGAAAGGTAGATTAAAACATGACAATTCAACTACGGATGAAAAAGAATGGAAGAAACATTGTAACATGTTGAATATCGACTTCAGAAATGGCCCACATGGAAAAAAACAAGTCTGAAAAAAAAAGAGAAAACCAAGGAACACTTCCTGGCAAAATACTTCATGTCTGATTCACTGGGGATCGGTCATTTTCTTCATGTCCGCAGTTCTTTTCCTGTAATTTTGTGGACACGAATGCAGCCCCACTTGTGTGTCTTCTTCTGGTTCAACGTGCCCTAGAGTCTATGTTATTTTACATATTCGACCCCAGTGCTGACTCTAACATTCGGAGAAAATCCATCCACGGAATTCACCCTTGTGGGAATTTAATACAAAGATTAAAAAGAAAGAAATTTGTCCTGACGTGAGAAGCAAAAGAAAAAAAAAAAAAGCACTCACTGGAATTCAATGCCTCTAGCGCGCAAAGGCTCTTAACTAAACAGGAATTGAAAATTGCAATAAATGAACTAAATGGACTCAATGATTCAGAAAAGCAAAATCAGGAAACATGACCAAGGGATAAAAGCACATAAGAGGGGAAAAATGACAAAAGGGAAAGGGAAATATTTAAAATTTAAAATGTAGAAAACAGGACAAGCAATGAATGACAAGACTGAGAAATGAAGTCACGTAAGCGTCATTGCCCAGTGAGGCTTTCTGAAAAAAAAAAACAACAACAAAAACACACCTCACGCTGCTTTGTAAATTGCACACGTGGAATCTCGGCTGTCAAAATGTGACAGCCACGGCGACACCCTCGGGGACTCCGTCCCGCCTCCTGTGGTCTCCCTGGGCAGCGACTTTCTTCCTTGTCAGCAGGGCCCCCACGGCGTCACCGGCAGCCAGCCACTTGTCCCAAGAGGCCACGTGCAAACTCTGAGGTTCTGCCAGGGGGGCCCTGCAATTTAAGCTACAGAATAAACCCCAAGTCCCTCGTCTTCGCCATGAGCGACGGCAGGTGGGCCAAGGGTGACGCGAGACGAGCTTCCGCAGAGCGTCGTCTGCCAGAGGAACTCCAAACACAATCTTTTGTTGGAGGGAGGAACAGAGATGATAATACAGCACAGTTCCAAGAACAAATTCCCTCCCCCAAGTCCATGACAACCCCCCTAATTATAGTCAAGATGCTCGTTTCTGGCAAGCTGTTCCTCTCTCTTCCCAGCAGGGGAGGAGAAAGCTCCAGAGATGAGGGGGTTATTAAGTAGAGGGCGGTAAAGGCTCAACTTTCCTGTTGGCATGGGACCGTTTCAACAACACACGCATCCGTCTGCTCCTGAATTAACAGGGCTGTTTGGGAGGGAAGCGCAGTCGTGAATTTAGAAAGAAGAGAAAGGTGCAGTTTCCTTAAAGGAAAACTGACGCACGACAGAATTATGGCTTACCTCTACGGAGAGTAGCATGGAGGTTCTTTAAAAAACTGAAAATGAAACTAGTGTATGACTGGCAACCCCACTCCCGAGCATGCATCCCGAGAAAAAGCACAGTTCAAAAAGGCACAGGCGTGCCAATGGTCACTGCAGCACTACTGACAGTAATCGGGGCCTGGAGGGAACCTAGATTTCCATCAACAGATGAGCGGATCAAGATGATGTGGCAATGTGTGCGTGGAATACTACTCAGCCATGAAAAAGGAAGGAACCCGGGTCAGCTGCCGCGACGTGGACGGACCCAGAGAAGCTGTCGTGCAGACTGCAGCGAGTCAGAAAGAGACAATGATCGTATGTTCACGCACATATAGGGAATCTGGAAACGTGACACTGAGGAACCTATTTGCAGGGCAGGAAGACAGACACTGATGTATAGAGCAGACATGCAGACATGGGGTCTGGTCGGGGGAGCAGGGGGTGGGATGGACTGAGAGAGGAACCCTGACATCTATCCGCCACCATGCGTAAAATGGCTAGCTAATGCGAAGCCGCTGCATAACAGACGGAGGTCGGCTGTGTGGTCTGTGATGACCTAATGGGGTGGGATGGGGGTTGCAAAGGCAGCTCAAGGGGAAGGGATTATGTGTATGCATATAGCGGATTCACTTCCTCACACAGCAGATACTAACACAGCATTGTAAAGCAATCACACTCCAGTGAAAAAATAAATACGCTAAACATGTTTGAAAAGAAGAGTTATGGTTCTCGACAATAGCATGGGGAAGAGACAACGGGAAAAGTCAATACTTTTCTCTAAAGGAGTTTTTCTTTTTTTAAAAGAAGAAAACAAGAGTACAAGTTAATTTCAGGAGTGGTTCCCCGGTGGTTTGAAAGATAAAGAAACATCCACAGTGGAAATGGAAAAGAATCAGAGCTGGCACAGCAGAGAACAAGATTGCCGTTAAAGTGTCTAAGTAAAGCCCGGAGGGACATCAGACCCACTTGGTACTGAAAACAATGAAGAGATGATCACAGTGTTAACAGACAGAAGGCAGCCAGAAGGGAAAGTCAACCTACAAACTCAAGTACAGGTAGAAGATATTCATAAGATGCCTACAAGACTTGATTCGAAACATGAGACTTTTAGTAAGTGACCTTTGTAATACACCGTGTCAAAAAGTAGAACTGAAATCATACATACACCTTTGTTGTCAACAAACAGTAACTTATTCATATAACTACCTCATAAATAATTTGAAGGTCAATCTAAAACAGAAGTAGAGATATTTGTGTGGTAGCCTTTTTGTTGGAAAGAAAAAAAATGCTTCTTCTATACTTTTATGCTCTGTAACCGGGGCGTGCAAATTAAACCAACAGCTGTCAGATTAACAAGAGAGACACATGAATTTCACTTCTAATGTCACAGGTGTGGGGGATTTCATAGAAAAGAAAAGAAATGCCAAAGACTTGGGAAGTCCTCACTTCTCAGAAGTTTCTGTTTTTCGTTAAGATCAGGGAAGTTCCAGAAAGGCATCTTTCTGCATCGGTCGCTTCTCAGTGGCCTTCAGCACAAAATAATCTGTATATCAAAGTGGCACGTTATGAGTTGGCACGTTCAGATCCATGTCACTTTCTCTATCTTAAAGGCAAGAGAAGGAAAGTCGAAGAATGGCATTTTAAACACGATATACGCAAATCTTTGTACCGAATCAAAGACTCGATAATTCTCTAAAGGGTTGGTCCTTGATTAAAAACTTAGGAAAGCATTACTTAGAGATGGGAAATCTTATCCTCAGTTGCGGTGGCGTGGTTTTTTTTGGTTGAGAAGAGGACACTGGACCTTGACACCTGCATTTCCTGTAAAGAGTAGGTGGTGTTTACAAGGCTGCATGTTATATTTGGTCTGGGTCTGGCACTGAACTCAGAGCCAGTCGAAGCCCAGCACAGTAAGGACCCTGAGATGCCCGAGACCAGGTGCTAAGTGGACATAGTGAGGAAGGGCACCCATTGCCAGCAAGATGCCAGGAACGGGGCAGATCGTATATTTGCACTAAAAAAAGAGTTTTTCGAGTTCTCATCAGAGGAAAAAATAGGTACTGTCTAAAGGGCTTCCTCCGTGGCTCAGAGGTAAAGAATCTGCCTGTGATGCAGGAGGCATGGACTTGATCCCTGGGTCCGGAAACTCCCCCAGAGGAGGAAATGGTGACCCACTCCAGTGTGTTGCTATCTGGAGAATCCCATGGACAGAGGCGCCTGGCGGGCTACCGTCCTTGGGGTCACAGAGAGCTGGACGTGACCAAGGGATTACACAACAACATAAAATAAGCTGCAGAAATGGTACCAGGAGGACTTCCCTGGTGTTCCCGGCGTTAAGGTTTTACCTCCCAGTGTAAGGGGTGTGAGTCTGATCCCTGGCCAGGGAGCTAACATCCCTGCATGCGGCAGGGTGTGTCCAAAAAGCAAAAAGAAATTTAATAAGGAAGAAGGGTATATTTTACAGCACGAGGAATATAGCCAATATGAGACAATAAATACAATGCAATCTTTAAGCTTATATGCTGTACATTAATATGGAAATGGCAACCCACTCCAATCTTCTTGCCTGGAGAATCCCATGGACGGAGAAGCCGGCGTGGCTCCAGTCCGTGAGGTTGCAAAGAGTCAGACACAACTGAGCAACTGATTCACATGCAAACAATGATATGAATATGACAATATATGTGACTATGCAAGTATAATTACATATTACACATACAATGGTATAAATTATACATATAATTATATAAATATTAACACAATTATTTAAGTTAAATAAGTTTAACTGTTCAACTTTAAAAGTTATACATTTAATGTATTTACAATTATACATTTACTATATATTATATAATATATATAATATATTACATGCAACATTATGTAATATTACATTTACATGTTATTACATAAATATATAGTAAATATATATTGATATAGTAATATTAGATACATATTAGTTACATAGTAATGCAAATATTGTTATATATATTATTTTTGTTTGTTTTAAATTTTATTTTTTTTCAAATTTCCTTGTTTTTTTATTTATTTTTTTTTCCATTTATTTTTATTAGTTGGAGGCTAATTACTTTACATCATTGCAGTGGTTTTTGTCATACACTGAAATGAATTAGCCATGGATTTACATGTATTCCCCATCCCTGTCCCCCCTCCCACCTCCCTCTCCACCCGATCCCTCTGGGTCTTAATATATGCAATATATAATGATAAAATACTGGAGTGGGTTGCCATTTCCTCCTCCAGACGATCTTCCCAACCCAGGGATCGAACCCAGGTCTCTCATATCATAGGCAGATTCTTTGTCATCTAAGCCACCAGGGGAGCTCCACATATTAAATGTATAACATCTGTTTCATATATAATAGCACATAATATGTGTATGTAGAAGCCTTCCCCTGCTCCAGAGGATCTTCCCAGACCCAGGAACCGAGCCGGGTTCTCCTGCATTGCAGGCGGATGCCTCACCAACAGAGCTATCAGGGAAGCCCTGATAAACCATCATGGAAAAGAATAAAAAAGAAAAGAATGGATATACGTGTATAGCGGAGTCACTTTGCTGCAAGGCGGAAATTACAACACTGTATATCCACTATGCCTCATAGACTAAATTTTAACTATGCTTCACGGTTTCCTCATGTGTTGAAGAATACAATAGGATTTGCCTCAAAGCGTAGATATAAATAGACTGATATACAGAGAGTGCTTAAATGTGTGACTGCAAAACAGCCAACAGTTCCTAATACAGGCAGATCTCGTTTTGCTGCACGCCAGCGATATTGCATTTTTGTTCACAATGAAGGTGTGGGTCAGCTCCGTCTGGAGTGAATCTACCGGCACAGTGTTTAAAAACAGCGTCTGTTCACTTCATGTCTGTGTGACATGTCGGTCACTCTCGCCATATCCTTTTGTTTTAATTTGAAATTTGACAGAATTTTTACTTCACAGTGCCCTGATCCTGATAGCAGTGAAGGGCCAGTTGAAAATGGTGCTCTGAGGTTCTGACATGACACTTACAGCTGTGAGTTGCCAGGTTATAAGCAAGGTGTACACGAGATGGAAACAGACACGTAATATAAAAAGTTTAGGTAGCTGGGAGATTCATATTTCTCCAGGGACAAACTTCCGGCTAAATCTAAATTAAAGGCCTGCTTTCTCACAGTATTTTAAACTTTTGCGTGATGATCATATTTGTTACGTTGAGCTGTGATGAGTGACCTTTGATGTGACTACTGCAAAAAGCTTGTGACTTGCATGCAGAGTGAAGTCAGAAAGAGAAAAACAAATACCGTTTAGTAACACACACGTCAAGCGCGGAGAAACGGTAGGTTTTCCGTTGCTAAGTCGTGTCCGACTCTTTGCGACCCCACGGACTGCAGCCCTCCAGACTCTCCCAGTCTATGGGATTCTCCGGGCGAGAATACTGGAGCGGGTTGCCGTTCCCTTCTTATTTGCAAAGAGAAATAGACACATGCTCTTATTTGCAAAACAGAAATAGACACACAGACATAGAAGAGAAACATATGGACACCAAAGTCGGGGTGGGACGAATTGACAGACTGTGATTGACACATATGCACGATTGATACCATGTATAAAATAGATAACTAATGAGAACTACTTATAGCCCAAGAACTCTTACAAAAAGATTACAAATCACTGAGAGAAAATGGTTGAGTGGCACCGCCGACTCAATGGACATGAGTCTGGGTAAACTCCGGGAGTTGGTGATGGACAGGGAGGCCTGGCGTGCTGCAGTCCACGGGGTCGCCAAGAGTCGGACACGACTGAGCAACTGAACTGAACTGAACACTCAAGGCTCAGAGGATGGTTAGCATTCTTCAGCAACAAAGGATTTTTTAAAACGAAGGTCTGTACCCTGTTATTTTAGACACAATGCTATTTACTGCACATCTAAGAAATTACAGGCTAGAGTAAGCATCACTTTCAGATGTAGAAGAAAGAAAAACCAATCTGTGCGGCCCGCTTTAATGCGCTGTGTAGTTTATCACTGCGGAATGCAACCGAAGCCCACAGCCTCTCCCAGGTCTGCCTGTGTTGGTCACTGCGGGTTTTTTTTTTGCCCACGGGAGAGGCTGAGCTGCAGCCCAGGAGGTGGGGAGCGACGTCCCCTGGGACAAGCGCCCTGTGCAGAGCGTCACGATGACAGGTCTGGACCGCCCCACCCCGACTCACCCGCTCTGGAGGTCGTCCAAGTTCAGCTCCCCCACGTAGTGCGTGGCCGAGGACACGGTCACCACCCTGGAGTGGCGGCCGGGGGCGCCCGACTCCCCCAGGGTGCCCAGGAGGAGGTTGGTCAGCAGAAAGTGGCCCAGGTAGTTGATGCCGAAGTGCTCCTCAAAGCCGTCGTCCGTGGCCTTCTGAGGCACCATCATCACGCCGGCTGGGGACAAAGGGGGCGCTCAGGAGAGTCAGAAAGGAGTGGGGAGCGGGGTGGGAGGAGATGAGATTCGACGCCGCCCCCTGGACGACGGGGAAGCCGCCAAGCTCCAGGATGCTGACTCTGGTCCTAGCTCCCAGCGCCCCTTCGCGCCTCAGGGCCCGGCTCTGTCCACGGAAAATAAATGGGCGGGGGGGAAGTGGAAGCAGTGACAGACTTTGTCTCCTTGGGCTCCAAAATCACCGAGGACCCTGACTGCAGCCGCGAAACGAAAAGATGCTTGCTCCTTGGAAGGAAAGCTATGACCAACCTAGACAGCGTTTTGAAAAGCAGAGACATCACTTTGCAGACAAAGGCCCGTCTAGTCAAGGCTATGGTTTTTTCAGTGGTCATGCACAGATGTGAGAGTCGGACCATAAGGAAAGCTGAGCGCCAAAGAATGGATGCTTTTGAACTGTGGTGTTGCAGAAGACTCTTGAGAGTCCCTTGGACTGCAAGGAGATCCAACCAGTCCATCCTAAAGGAGATCAGTCCTGGGTGTTCATTGGAAGGACTGATGCTGAAGCTGAAACTCCAATCCTTTGGCCACCTGATGGGAAGAGCTGACTCATTGGAAAAGACCCTGATGCTGGGAAAGATTGGGGGCGGGAGGAGCAGGGGACGACAGAGGATGAGATGGTTGCATGGCATCACCGACTCCATGGACATGAGTTTTAGCAAGCTCCTGGAGACAGTGAAGGACAGGGAAGCTTGGCGTGGTGCAGTCCATGGGGTCACAGTGTCGGACACAACATAGCCGCTGAACAATAAAGTGCACAATAAACGTTAGCTTCACCTGAATCTTCCCGAAACCACTCCCCAACCCTACGTTCAGTCTGTAGAAAATTGTCTTCTGTGAAATTTGTTCCTGGTGCCAGACAGGTTGGGGACCACTCATATGGCACCTAAAATTCGATGAACAAAATATTGGGTTTCCAAAGAGATTGCTTAGGTTTCCTGTAAGATCTTCCAGAAAATCTCAAAAGAATGTTTTAGCCAACCCAAAGATTGGGAGCTTGGGACTGACATACACGCACAGCTATATTTAAAATTAAATGCCCTTTACACTGTGATCACTTCCTCACTTGTCTCTGGCTATTTCACTGCTGCCCGCCAGGCACCTCTGTCCACGGGATTTGTCCAGGCAAGAATACTGGAGTGGGCAGCCTTTTCCATCTCCAGGGGATCTTCCCAACCCAGGGATCGAACCCAGGTCTTCTGCATCGCAGTCGAATTCTTAACCGGCTGAGCCACAAGGGAAGCCCTGAGAAGCCCTTAAAATAAAATGCCTTTTAAATATTTAAAAAAAAAAAAGGGTCGAAGGGCTTGGCAAAGTTCACACAAGAAAATTACAGACTTAGAACCAAAGCCCACTATTTTAAGTCTACACGCGCTGATCGTCTTTCCTCCCAAAGCCTCTGTGTAAACAAAACCGGTCTCCTCAACAAGAGACATTTTCTGTACCATGTCAGGTCTGCAAATGTGTGTGGTTCTGAAATGACAAACTTTGCTTCAATTTTCACATATCAACTGAGTTTGCTGTTATATGATGGTAAGCTCAAAGATGTTTTAAAATGTTCTCTTGTATTCAACAGTGGTCAATAAATAAAAAGTAACATATATACAATGGAATACCTAATGCATGCGTTCTCTGTCGTTTCAAACTCTTTGCAACCCCACGGACTGTAGCGCGCCAGGCTCCTCTGTCCATGGGATGCCCCAGGCAAGAACACTGCAGTGAGTTGCCATGCCTTCCTCCAGGGGATCTTCCCGACCCAGGGATGGAGCCAGTGTCTCCTGCATCAAAGGCAGATTCACGACCCAGTGCGCCACCCGGGAAGCCTGCCGTGGAATATTACTCAGCCATAAAAAAGGAATGAAGTTGCGTCAGGCGCAGTGATGTGGACAGACTTAGAGTCTGTCATAGAAAGCGAAGTAAGTCCCGAAAACGAGTATCACATATCAATGCATATGTGCAGAATCTAGAAAAATGGTACAGAGAAACCTAATTTCAGGGCAGTAATAGAGACACAGACATAGAGAACAGTCTGGGGGGTGCTGGGGGAAGGAGAGGGTGGGATGAATACAAGAGAAAAGGACTGAAATATATACACAACTGTGTGTGAAATAGCTAGCTAGTGGGAAGGTCTGTATAGCCGAGAGAGCTCACCTCGGGGCTCTGTGATGAACTAGAGGGGTTAGACGGGGGTTGGGGGTGGGAGGGAGTCTCAAGAGGGAGGGAATATATGTATACTTACAGCCCACTTGGTGTCCCCTGCTGGCTTAGCTGGTGAAGAACCTGCCTGCCATGCAGGAGACCCGGGTTCGATCCCTGGTTTGGAAAGATGCCCCTGCAGAAGGGAAAGGCTACCCACTCCAGTATCCTTGCCGGGAGAATCCCATGGACAGAGGAGCCTGGCAGGCTGCAGTCCACGGGGTCGCGACGAGTCGGACACGACGGAGCGACCTAACACAGCACACGGCTGGTTCCCTTCACAACACAACGTTGTAAAGGCAACTACAGCCCAAGGGAAAAAAATGTCTAAAAATGCCACGAGACTCGCGCTGGTCATGTTTTACGTGTGATGAAAAGTAAGGTGTATTGTAAAACGTTTCTGAAGAGTGTCCCGGGGGTACATTTCAGGATGTGTCTGGAAGCACCCAGGCAGAGGTGGACAAGGGGCGTGTTGGAGACAGTGTGGACAGCTCCCTGGAGAAAAGTTCCCTTGATGTCGAAGGTGGACGGGATGCAGCTGCGTTCAATAATCTGGGTGCGTGCCCGCACTGGGGAGGGGTACTCAGCACATGACAGACTCGCACGTTCCGGGGGGCACGCGGCCCATGTGAGGCTGGTCGGGAAAGGACCCAGGGCTCCAGGCAGAGGGAGAGCCAGCCTGCTCGCTCTCTGGGCACGCGTTCCCTCGGGAGAAAGAGTCTACAGCACAGTTCCTGAGTCGAGGTGGCCTCCCAAGCTCTGCCGTCACGAGTGGAACCTGGAGGAGCTGACAAGGTCATAGAGGGTCCGAGGGCATGCTCAGAAAAGACCCCAGTGTTCAGCATTCTGTCTCTGCGGGCAGAGCTAGCCTCCCGAGAGAAGGCCGGCACTCCTAAGACCGCTGTTCTGGTGCAGAGACCACACATGGGGATCTCGTCAACCAGCCCAGCGGACGCCAGGCGCCAGGCAGGACTAACTGGAGAAGATTCTTGACAGTCCCTTGGACTGCAAAGAGACCAAACCAATTAGTCCCAAAGGAAATCAACCCTGATTATTCACTGGAAGGACTGATGCTGGAGCTGAAGCTCCAATACTTTGGTCACCTAATGGGAAGAGCTGACTCACTGGAAAAGACCCTGATGCTGGGAAAGACTGAAGGTGGAAGGAGAAGGGGGCGGCAGAGGATGAGATGGTTGGATGGCATCATCGAATCGATGGACAGGAGTTTGAGCAAGCTCCGGGAGTTGGTGATGGATGGGGAGGCCTGGCAGGCTGTGGTCCATGGGGTCGAAAAGAGTCGGACAGAACTCAGTGACTGAACAACAACAATTTCAGACCACAGGAGAAAACCACTGTGGACATGAGAACCTTGTGGGACATTCAGATAACAGCAGCTCTGGATGCAACCCCAAGGGAGGACCAGAGGCCCAGGGGCCCAAAATGCAAGCAAAGGACATGGTTATTTCCACATGTCTGCATGCTTGCTTGCTCAGTCATGTCCAATCCTTGGAGGCCCCGTGGACTGTAGCCTGCCAAGTTCTTTTGTCCATGGGATTTTCCAGCCAAGAATACTGGGGCAGGTTGCTAGCAGCATTAATGAAAACAGGCAAGATGTGGAAACAATCTAACTGTCCATTGACTGATGAATGGATATGGAAGGTGTGTGTGTGTGTGTGTGTGTGTGTGTGTGTAACGGAGTATTACTCAGCCATGAAAAAGAATGAAATACCTCCATTTGCAACAACATGGATGGAAAGAGATGATCATACTAAGCTAAGTAAGCCATAAACAAAAAGATGAATACCATGTAATATCACTTATATATTCATATGTTAAATCTAAAATCTCCAACTCTAATCAAGCAATCCTATTCCTGAGCATATATCCAGAGAACATCATTTGAAGAGACACATGCATCCCAATGTTCACAGCAGACAACACAGGGAGGCAACCTCAGTGTCTATCGACAGATGAATGGACAAAGAAGATGTGGAATATATATATAATGGAATATTGAGTGAGTGAGTGAACGTCGCTTAGTCACGTCTGACTCTCTGCGACCCCATGGACTGTGAAGTCCATGAGATTCTCCAGGCCAGAACACTGGAGTGGGTAGCCCTTTCCCTTTTCCAGGGGATTTTTCCCAACCCAGGGATGGAACCCAGGTCTCCCAAATTGCAGGCGGATTCTTTACGAGCTGAGTCACCAGGAAAGCCCAAGACTACGGGAGTGGGTTGCCGTTTCCTCCTCCAGGGGATCTTCCCAACCCAGGGATCGAACCCAGGACTCCCGCTTCGCAGGTGGATTCTTTACCAGCTGAATCACCAGGGAAGCCCGTGGAATATTACTCAGTCAAATGGATTATCACTCAGTCATAAAAAAAGGAATGAAATAATCCCATGTGCTGTAACACAGATGGACTTGGAGGGTATTGTGCTATGAGAAATAAGTCAGAGAAAGGTAAAATACTGCATCGTATCACTTGTACGTGGAATCTTAAAAATACCACAAATGAGCGAATATAACCAAAAAGCAACAGACTCAGACATACAAGGAAGAAACTGGTGGTGACCAGTGGGAGAGAAGGAAGGGGTGGGGGCAAGACGGGGGGAGAGGTTTGAGAGGTACAAACCACTATGTATTAGTATAACATCCCCTCATGGCTCAGTTGATAAAGAATCCACCTGCAATGCAGGAGACCCCAGTTCAATTCCTGGGTCGGGTAGATCCGCTGGAGAAGTGATAGGCT